TATATATATATGTATATATATACATATATATGTATATATATACATATATATATATATATATATATATATACATACATACATACATACATACATACATATATATATATACATATACATATATACTAAAATAAACGCTACTTCTTACTTGTACTACTATTCCTACTTTGCGGTTTTTCACTTATTGTGGGTCTTCAGGGTACGGATCCCCCGTGATAAGTGAGGAACTACTGTAGTGGACTTTTTCTTGACCTCGAGTGCAAAACAAAACATCCGCCTGTCTGTCAATAAAAAATTATGTTTTTTCTTATATTATTTCCTGTGTTTGGGGTGGTTTTGAAGATTTGTGTGCGTTGACACCAGTCAATGCCAGTTTGAGGGTGTGAACCTATTTATTTGGGAATTAAAACACAAGAACAATCTGGAAAATTCAACAAAGTTCAGTCAGGTCCTCTGGACAGTTTCTTATTTTGTTGAAACGTTTCGGCCTTCATCCAAAGGACTTCAGTCCGAGGATCCAAAACAAACTCAGTCCCATAAGTAGCACACTCACATGGTGGGCCAACCAGTTTGCTGGTGATAAGATGGTTTCTGGAGTCCGCCCTCTCCCCCGTCAACTCCTCTGAGGCAGCAATGGCCAAAGTGGTTCAAAACGTCAAAGGTCATACTCTCTAATCTGAAAAATTATTTTCATAAAGATGCTTTTTTTTAAACAAACACAAATTTTGAGATTGAACATGGTATGCTAATTAGATCCAACTTCCTCCTTCAGAAGCTTCTTACAATCTTCACCTGACAGAGTGCGTGTTGAAAAAAGGTCAACATCTAATCTTCAACAAGGACTGTCTTCACATACTCTTTGTGAATAAAATAAATGAGCTGCAGTTTGGCATGAATGTTGTCAGTCTACTGATTCATGGTATGATTCAGTCCAAATGACCCATGTAGGCAAACATGTCCCTAAAACAGTGTTTATATAGCCTTGAACAAGTTAAACAGTCTGTTAAAGGTGCACTCTTATGGTTTGACCTGTCAAATTGCACCACTTTCAGCTAAACTGCTGCTGTGCAGCAGGCAGGTTTCTGCCAGCAGCTTCAGTGTCATCTTTTATATTTGGAAAACGGTAATAACTAAGTAACAGTATATGCATGAAAAAAAAAATCATGTGTAAGTTGCTATAATAGGCATGCAGCAGTTATACTTCAGAATGACTTTCAAACAAAAAGGTTTTGTTTTCTGTTTACCGTCAAAGCCGTGTTTGTATTGTTCTTGGCTCACCTTTGTCCTGTCACTCGTTACCTCTGCATACACCCACTGTTTCCATTGTTTGCTGATACAAAAGACAGGACTGTCAACCTCACCTGTTGGTTTATTGGTTTGCGCAACTGGTTGGATTTCCATGTTGTAGCTGATTTTGAACTTGTCTGAACTCAGCCAATCTTTTGGTAACGACCTGTTTTATAAACCTTAGGCCTGGCATTCCTTGAAGGAATGCAGACCGCCCACCGCCTTTCATGCAAGGGTACTAAACTAAGAGAAACAACAAAGTTGTGACCATTTCGGTCAAACGTTGACAATGAAGTGTTCCATGATCTCATGCAATATTGTCTGGTGTCACAGTATTAATATTTGATATTAAAAAAAAACTCAGATACAACCACACAGATTTTTCATACAATATCTGTAAAACTGACTGATTTATAGTCATTTTTGTTTTTGTGAGTGTTGTCTGCCATCTTAAATTGGGTTAGCTCCAATTTGAGTGTCAGTTAGTTGTACATTCAATAAATACATTATGAAAGGTTCGTTGAAAACCATCCAGTTGTTCATGAAATCTTGTGCTAACAGTATAACAGAGGCGACTACACAAAGAGCCAACCAAAGCTGTTAGTTCTTAGACTATGTGTTGTGAATGACTATCAACTACAACCACAACAAATTTTTTGCACTTAGGGAAAATTATTAGTACCGGTAGTTGTGAAAAGCATTTGTTCTACCTGTAGGTTTTCCCTTGTTTTGGGGTGATGGCGACACAGGACTGCTCGTTTCCCGAGGCGAGGATCGGGTATGGCACAACCAAAAGTGAAGAACCGTTCTCAGCCTTGATCTTCTTCCGCCCTCGCTCCACCTTTGGAGGTGGGCCGAGGAGTCCCACGAGGCCACCGTTGCTTTTCCCGTGCTCAACCCCGTGGCCGCTGGCTAACCCTGAGAGCAGGTGTGGGGTGGGAGCTCCACCGAGCCGGCTGTGGCTGCTGGAGGTGGGGGTTGTGGGGGTTATGATCTCTGATGTGCTGAGGTTTCCTGTCCTGGATGCCAGCGCCACACCTGATGGGCACAGAAGTGGAGAAGATTACTCAATATATTCTACTTTATTACAATTTACTGAAGTTGTCTTCTGAGGAGTTTCTTTTGAATGCTTTACAAATTAACAGCATAGCATTTCTTGAAGAAATGTATAATGCTCATCCCTTTTTGGTCCAGAACACTGCTGCTCGGCTTCTAACTGGAGTTCAAAAGAGGGAGCACATCACCCCCACTCTGGCTTCACTCCACTGGCTGCCTGTTCATTTTAGAGTTCATTTTAAGATTATCTTATTTGTTTTTTATAAGTTTAAATTGTCTTGCTCCATCCTACCTCTCTGAGCTGCTTCACCCATACTGTCCTGCTCGGTGCCTCAGATCAGCTGATCAGCTGCTCCTGGAGGTGCCGAGGTCTAAGCGGAGGCTCAGAGGGGACAGAGCTTTTTCTGTTGCTGCTCCAAGACTGTGGAACGATCTTCCTCTTCCCATCAGACAAGCCCCTTCACTGTCCAGTTTTAAAACTCTTTTAAAAACACGTTTTTACTCCCTGGCTTTTAGCACACACTGAATTATGCTCTGCACTGTTTTTATTATATTTTATTTATCTTTATCACATTCATACACTGATGGGACACACATCAGAGACAATGAGGGGTTCAGTGTCTTGCCCAGGGACACTTCAGCATGTGACTGCTGATGGATTCGAACCCCCAACTCTCGCATTGGAGGACAACTGCTCCAACCACTCAGCCACACTCAGTGAACACCTTTTTTTTTTATGCGTGCACACATGCTCGTGCACGTGCACACACGCACACCTACACACATCATTGTGCCCCCCCCCCCCCACACACACACACACACACACACACACGCACACACATTACGGATGCTTCTGACGCCCTTGGCAGGGAGGCTGGGAACCAAACCCCAGCCATAAACAAGGGACTACTGTATTATATAAAGTTAGCCATTTAGTTCTATCCTTACTTATTTGGATCTATGTATTTGCTGTTTTAAGCACTTTATAAATAAAGTGGTACGGTATGGTATGGTATGGTATGGTATGGTATGGTATGGTATGGTATGGTATGGTATGGTATGGTATGGTATGGTATGGTAT